TGACCGTATGAATTAGTGACTTCCAAAAAGTTATGATTGTAGCCTATCTTTAAAGAGCCTGTCCACACTGGGAAATTCAGTGTGGTCTAGTCAAAGCTAAAAAGGTTCTTATCGTAAGTGTGGTCTATTTTAACTCTCACATGAGCAGTCCATCCATCCACTCTGGAGATCATGCTATGGTCCTCTTCTCTCATGCTACACGTCCACACAGAGCAAAGTTTACTGGGTTTACTCATGAGTAAGGAGGCAGCAGCACAAGGGGAAAAGTTGAAATGGAGGCTAGTGAGACAGAAAGGTGGTAACTCCCCTTTTCCTGCCTTTCTCCTCAGCCAGGGTCTGCGCCACCTTATGGGGGCAGAGGCTATGGAATTAACATAGCTCCCTTTCCTGCCTTTTCTTGTGGCAATCAGTCAGTGGACTGGGGTGGCGTGAGACAGAAAGGTGGTAACTCCCCTTTTTCTGCCTTTCTCCTCAGCCAGGGTCTGCATCACCTTATGGGGGCAGAGGCTATGGAATGAACATAGCTCCCTTTCCTGCCTTTTCTTCTGGCCATCAGTCAGTGGACTGGGGTGGCCTTCCTTTTTTGTTGTTGTTAAATAAAATAAGTGGCATAGCAAAATGGCAATGCATCACCCTAGCCTGATATTAGAATTTCACTGTGTCGGTTAGGGAAATATATATATACAGTGGGGTCTTGACTTGAGAACTTAATCCGTATTGGAAGGATAAGTGGCATATCAAAATGGCAATGCATCACCCTAGCCTGGTATTAGAATTTCACTGTGTCGGTTAGGGAAATATATATATATATTTAAATGACAAAATAGAGGGGGAGGTTTCTTCGCCCTCCTTTTTAATGCCAAACCCATCTAATACATCACAGGGTTGTTTTCTCAGTTAATGTCATGCAAGGTTCCATTTGGATGCAGGCTAACCATCTGCACCGGCTACACAAACTACTGTAATTGGAGTCACACTAAATCTTACAAAAAAGAATACATGCCCTACCACTGTGCCAGAAAGGAGTGCAACAGCTGTTAAAGGAGCGGGATGAACCAAGCTAAGTGGAAACATGTGGACATCGTTATTTGGTTTGAACCAAACTGTACCACCAGCAGCTAATATATAAATATATATGCTAGCATGGACAGCCTCTTTGTCTTCTTCTGGTCGGAATGACTGGCAGTCCTTCATCTATAGCGGGGGTCCCCAAACTACGGCCTGCAGGCCACATCTGCCCTACCTTGCCTTTTTATCCAGCCCATGCATGCATGCGGGCAGGTGGGTGTGCATGCACATGCGTGTTCCTTTGGCTCTAAAAATTTGCAAAATATACAATGTGCCCCTCACAGTGAAAAGTTTGGAGATCATTGATCTATAGGAATGGAAAAAGTCAATTCACTGTATGTATCAAGTCAGATCTGCCACTGCAACACAATACAGTTTTTTGAAGTATGCAACCTCAATCTTGCAATTTTGCTTTAACTAAATTCTGAATCTTCAATACCCAGACCAGAGATTTGGTCTCTTTTTAAAAACTTTTCTGTCCCCTGCTCTGTATAGCACAGCCCAATCAAGAGTCTCTGTCTGTTTACAATATTTTTGTAGTCCACCAAAAGTATTAATCATTTGATTTGGGATCACTCGGTTTAATTTATTATAACCAAATCTGTGAAAAAGAATTTTGTTCTCAGTCATTCTAGTTACAATTACTTTGTTATAAATTCCATACATTTAAAAAAAAATGTTTTCCAATCACTTTTAGCTCAAAAGAACAATACTGCATTTAACAGGTTTGCCCCACCTTTAGCAGATGTGGCACCTATTCTAATGCAGTTTTGCTTAACATTTTGTAACCTACCATTGCTTTCTTCAGTTTTCCCTGTAAGTCTATTAAATAAACAGTGAGTTAAAACATTTTAAAAGCAGAAACACCCATTAGGAAGACTTTTGCAGCTGCCATTTAGTGACCAAAGGCTTGTCTGTTAAACTTTTTCATATTTGGTATGACCAAGCAAACAGTGAAATTATTTTTCACAATAAGACAAGCACTCAGCTTTTATCCAGCATTGGATTTCGGTAACATCTTTATTTGTTAATCAAGTTCAAAGTCATCAATAAAAAGAAAGCAGGCCAAGAAATGCACTTGAGGAGTTGGCAAACATTAATACTTCTGAATTTGGTTCAATGAACAGTAGAAGCACATGCAATAAAAAAGAGGTGTCTTGGAGCAATTTCCTTAAGATGAAGCATGTAAAAATGAAAAGTGGCTTTGAGAAGGCACATTATGGTACTATGTATATTTTATTCTACTTTATAGCACAAAATTTTGGACTTCAACATAAGTAATTATGAAAACAAATATAAGTACGGTATATGAAGTGTAGACTTGTCACAAAATGTTAAGGATTCCTTAGCTTGGGAAGGTGATCTATGAAGAATTACAAAGGCAAATGAATTTAAAATACCCCTATCATTAAATTAAATAAAATGCAGAATGTTTAGAGGAACACAGTCATGTAATGGGAAACAAAGCAGGTTGTTCCAGGCGATCATTCAAGGTGAAATAAATGGGACCAGTAGTGCAGGAAGGAAAATAATTTGCTCACTGAAGAACCTGAGACACTGGTTTGCGTGCAACACATCTTTGTTTGGTTCAGCACTGCCGGTAGGCGAGGAACAAGAAGAATGCCTTTATTGAACCACTTAAATGTAATGAAAACTGAGCTTTGGACTCATGCAAGACTTTGCACCGGGCAGGAGACTAGCAGATTAGGGGTGAGGGACCAAACAGGAACGCTATTGAAGCCGCAAGGTCTGTAGTTTCAAGATGCATCCGTACATATCTGAAGAACCAGTTTGAGATGGGGTAGTTTCAGAGAATCAGAAATAGGCGATTAACTCAGAAAAAGCGTAATTATGTCCCATCTAAGCATCCTTATCTTCACAAAAATACTACAATATTTATCTTCACAAAAATACTATTTCCTTGCCTCCAGATACACCGTCAGTAAGCCTATTCAATATCTGAGAAAGTGTTTTCCCCGGGTAATGTATGTCCTTCTGTGAAGGAGCAGTAGAACGAAAGGAGAAAGAAGAGAGTGAGCCGTCCCCTCAGCTAGAGACATCTGAGTGGGAGAGAGATACAGAAGTAGAGAAGACAAGTGAGGAGTTGAATGTGGAGGAAGGGGAAAGAAGGGAATCAAAGGGGAAAGAGGAGAAGATTGAAATCTGTCTAGTGGAAGAGAGAGAGGGAAAAGGGGAGGAGGAATTATTTTTCCCATGTGGGAGGAGGATATATGGGAACCAAGTAGGAGGAGACAGTTCGGTGTACCAAGGAGACAGAAAGGAGGAAGGGGAGGAAAAAGAGAGGGAGAAAAATGTGCCGGTTGTTGGAGGTCTTCCCTAATTTGAATGTAGGAAGGTTGCTACCTGACCCGGACAAGTCTAAAGAAAAGAGGACATTGGCAGAAGCTCTAGAATGGATGGCCGTGGTCTTTCCGGGCCGCGCTCAGTCCTTGGCCCCATGGGGCAGTTCCCTCTCTCCAATGCCGCCTCCCGCTCTGGCACCGGCTCCACCGAGGAGGCCACGGACCTCGGTGTCAAAACACCATGACAGCTGCTGCACTGAGGGCAAGAGGCTCTTCCAGGCCCAGCTGGCCAGCACGGGGGTGCCGCCGAAGGAAGCCAGTGGTTCGGTTGCAGCTGGGCCAGAGAAGGGGGTGGGAAGAGGGTGTTTGGGCTGCCAGGGACCCCCCTCTGGGCAAACGAGAAGGAGGAGGAGGAGGAAAGGGGGTTAGGGTGGCGTCTTCATTACCCCCAGGATTTTCATTTTTACCCCATTTGGGGTAATTTACCCCTGTTCCCTGACCACTGATACATGGGAACCAAGTAGGAGGAGACAGTTTGGTGTACCAAGGAGACAAAAAGAAGGAAGGGGAGGAAAAAGAGGGGGAGAAAAATGTGCCGGTTGTTGGAGGTCTTCCCTAATTTGAATGCAGGAAGGTTGCTACCTGACCCAGACAAGTCTAAAGAAAAGAGGACATCGGCAGAAGCTCTAGAATGGATGGCCGTGGTCTTTCCGTGAGGACAAGGTCACTCGAGGAAGGTGATTTGGCCGGACCCTTCCTTCAAACACCCACCGCCGGAGGGAGATTGGGCCAGACACCCTTGTTGTGGGACAATATGTGCGGTCCAGAGTGCTCCGCTGAGGAAGCCCCCCGATCAGAAATGTTTTGGCCCAGCACCTCAATGAATCCTGTCAATTTCCAGACAGTTATCGTCCTCACAATTTGGACAGTTACCAGATCTTGGTTGTTTTGAACCGATAGAAGTTGTTGTAGACTCCCCTGTTAAACTAAATAAATCTGTTAGCGTTCAAAAATTTGTCATTTCCCACCAAAAAGCAGGAACTGCTTCACATCTTTAATGAACTGAATCACAACTTCTTTATTTACAGTATCTGAATATCGTTATCCAGCTACAGTTGTCCTCCAAAATGTTCACAGATTCAGCTAAAAAGCTATGCGTATCGACTAAGAATTTCAGTCTCGTTGGGTATTAGGAGATTTTGCACCTGCAACCTCTGGTTTACCAAAAAAAAAAAAAAAAGCAAGCACGTCTTAAACAAGCCAAACGTCCACGCATTCACACCCTCTTTGCAAGCTTTGCTCAATGAATGAGCGGTTGCTCAAGCTAAGCGCGGCTCCGATTTGAATGCCGCGACAGCCACCCAGGCTTACATACTTTGCCCGTAAGGGCGGTCTTGCTGGGCGCACGTTCAATTGAAACGCGGAAGTGTCGTTCCCGTCTCCGAGACTGTAAGGTCCTACATCCTATCTCTATGGTGCCCTCTTGAGGCGACACAACTGAGGGCTTGCGCATGCTCAGTACCACAGCCGAGGCATCTGTCAGAAAGTGAGGGGGAGGGAAATAGGAGTTCCTCCTCTCGCGACTTTTGCTGTTCGCGGCGGCTTAATCGCGTGGTTAGGCGCGTTGCATTGTGGGAGCTCCTTCCTTTCCTCGTTGCCCGGCCATCTTAGAGGTGCTTCGGTGGTGAGTGGGTCCGCGGGGTTTAGCTTTAAGGGGGACGGTTAACGTGAGGTGGGAGACAAGAGTACTCTTGAGGGAGCATCGTTAACCGTCTTGCTTTTCCTTTGTGTAGGTATCGGCGGGGCCCAGGTGAGCCGGCAGGATGGTGGCCGCCAAGAAGACGGTGAGTGGGTGAGCCGGGCAGAAGAGCAGCCAGCGGGGCGGGATGGGCTTCATTCACGTGGTGATCCCTTGCGGGTCTCCGTGGGGAAAGACAGGCGCTCCCGTGTGAGGCCTTGGAGCAGCGCGCGTGTTGGGCAGAAGAGAGATAAGGTCGGGAAAGTCAAATGATGGCCATTGTAAAGGAGAGGGGTTTGCTTCCTTATCGCTCCGAAGGCTCTAATCTCTTGGCAGGGCTTTCTTTCCACCGGGCCGCAGAGCAAGACCTCGGTAACGTTTTTACACCCTTAATACGAAAGGTGTGCAAGTAACACCCTTATACCTTGCAGATATAAACGTGTGTATACCATTGTTAGGGTATCTGTAGCTGATGGTAACTTTCGTAGGGGACACAGTGATGTCTTCCGAATCCCTCCTATGCGTCAGTTGAATGAAGCTGGAGTGTCTGCTATACTAGCAACGATAATGACAAATCAGGTCTTCTTTATTACACTTGCTGCTCTGAGGATGGGTAAACAAGCATTATCTTAGGTTTATGGTGACCCATCAGTTTTATTTACCATAAAGCTGCAGCTGTAAGTATGCCTAGTAAGAAGCCAGATAACTTGATTTTTTAATTTTTTGGATTAATGTATCCAGGATTTTCCCATAAAGCAGTAAAATGTAGTCAGGATTTTTTGTTTTAGAAAACAATGCATAAGCATAGAAGGAATAATTAATTTATGAGGTAGGAACAAGTAGATATCACTTTAAAGTTATGTTAAAAACATGTCGCTTTAAGTCAGTGGTTCCCAACCTTGGGTCTCCGAGTGTTTTTGGACTAAAGCTCCAAGAAGCCTTCACCACTACCTGTGCTGGCCAGGATTTTTGGAAGCTGTAGTACAAGAACATCTAGGACCCAAGGTTGGAAAGCTCTGGTTTAAGTTGAATGTTGCAAGAAAACAACTGCAAAGAAACATGACACTTTCCCCCTCCAATGTATGTTTTTGTTGTCTTTTCAAATCCTTGCTTTAAAACTAGACAGTGTAACTGTTCAAATTATTTGTGTCTTTGTGCAGGACTTTAAATGGACAGCTAAGTCTAATTTAGGGCCTATAACTGTGCATTTTATAATGTAATACAATTTTCTTACAGAAAAAGTCCTTAGAGTCCATAAACTCAAGGCTTCAGCTGGTTATGAAAAGTGGCAAATACGTATTGGGATACAAACAGACACTGAAAATGATCCGGCAGGGCAAAGCCAAGTTGGTCATCCTAGCCAACAGTTGTTCTGCTCTGAGGTAAATATACATTTACTGAATGAACAGAGAACTTGTGTGAATATGGTTTGTTATTTGTTAGGTTCTTTAAAACAAAGATCCATGAATTTTGTTAGTCCAGATGTGCTGCAATCCAGTGTTCACTTAGCTGGGAGTAAGCCCCACTAAACTCATTGTCTTGACTATAAACATGCATCAGATTGTGCAGCCACTCATTGAAATTAGTCCACAGTTTCAGATAGTGATCATCCCATAGTAGGTTGCATGTATTCTCTGCCACATTTCTGCTTACCAAACCCCAGTGTTTCCTCATCCTTTGGCAAGTGCGCTGAGAGGACCTCAGCATTCCTCTCTGGTGTTCAGTGCAGCAAGGAACATATCTGAATTCTCTGCCACATTTCTGCTTACCAAACCCGTGTTTCCTCATCCTTTGGTAAGTGCTCTGAGAGGACCTCAGTATTCCTCTCTGGCATTCAGTGCAGCAAGGAACATATCTGAGCTGAACTTCAGTAGGTTCAATGGAATAGTGGAGAATATCCCTGCCCCTTTCTCTTGATACTGTGGTGGGAGGTTAGATTTGTTTTTTGTTTGTACTCAAAGCTAGGTGGGAGACATAGGCATTGCAATTTAACCTCAGACTGACTGGAAGTAATGAAATATAATTCAGTTAGTTATCCTTATTCACACCTTCTCATCTAATGGACCATGTGCACCAGATCTTCAGAAGGTTGATTACATTGTTATTTCCTCTCAAATTCTCTTCATTCAGTCATTTTATGAAACGAGGTTCTTCAGCCTAACTGAGTTAGTGGAATCACTCAAGTTAATGAGAGTGTAATATACTAAATTTCAAAATATAACAGTCTCATGATTATAAAAATGTTTAATGCTATGAGATTATTATGTTTCCTGGAAGTATTAAGACTTGGTACAGAAATGTAAAGGTGGTCCATCTTGAGTATAAAATTTGTGGATCATGCTTTGTTTTTTAAAGGTAAAGGTATGAGGGCCAGCTATGTTGTGGATGTAGAAGTTTCAGTAATTGTCTAACAGGCTTTATTGTACATAATTGTCTTACAGTGGTTCTTAACCTTTGTTACTCAGATGTTTTTGAACTGCATCTCCCAGAAACCCCAGCCAGCACAGTTGGTGGTGAAGGCCTCTGGGAGTTGCAGTCCAAAACTCCTGAGTAACCCAAGGTTAAGAACCAGTGTTTTAGTACACACTGTTCTAAACAGATGGAATGTGCAAATTTAAATCATAGGCCTTTTATTGATGTTTGGAAATTTTAGTGCTCTTTCTGATGTGCACTCAATGTTAAAATTAGGCATGGGACTTTCACTACAGCTTCCAGAATTCACAGAATTCCCTCAGCCAGAATTCTGATGACTTTAGCCAGAACATCCAAGGGTTTAGAGGAGTTTTTGGAGACACACCTCCCTACATGTCTTCCCTTGGAGCAATGCCTATTGGCCTAAAGAAAAAGGAAGTGAATGGGTGTGGCTAAATTCCATGGGAGCTGCAAGGGATTAGAAGACTGGTAGTTTTTAGAGAAGCACCCTGTACAGATCCTAATAAACAGTTCCTTAATCCCTTGCCGCTCCAGTATATCACTCATTTACCTCTTCAAGCTAATGTTTGTTGCTCCAGAAACAGGCTGCTGAAGCACAAGTATCTATTCTGAAACTCCTCTGAAGACTTGGATTTCTGGCTACAGCAATCATACTTCCAGTTGGATAAATTATTTGCAAATTCTGGAAGTTGTAATGGGGGGAGTAGTCCTATGCCTATGGTTTGAATCCAGATTAATCATAATATAGAGGGGAGGATGCCTTCCAATCCACTTGGGGGCAGTACAGTTGCTGAAATTATTGGTTGCTGAAGTTACTGTTGTCACTGTCATTTGATAGAGATCTGTGTGATGCTGGAGGATGCCATAGTGCACCTCTTATAGAGCTTTGGTTTGGCAGGGCATATAGTCTCCTTTCAAGGGAAAGGAGAAAGAGTTGCTTGTTTGTGGCACTTTTAAATCGCAGTGTAGTACTTGTATCTGCTGTGGCAATAAATGCAGGGCGGTGGCAGCATACCTATTAACTATAAAAATAATCAGAGGAAAATGTGTAGTCTGAGACAATGTGGTGTTCATCTGTTTTAGCTCTTTAAAATCAACAGGAGTTGAATTGGTGATTAAATTTGACTAGGTTGCTCTAAATCCTGTTCAAGCAATTTAAATATTTGCATCTCTTTTATATGTCTATAATTCTCAGGAAATCAGAAATTGAGTACTATGCTATGTTGGCCAAAACTGGTGTACACCACTACAGTGGCAACAATATTGAACTGGGTACAGCTTGTGGAAAGTACTACAGAGTATGTACGCTGGCCATCATTGACCCAGGTACGTATGTGTGCTTGATTATCACATTGCCCTTGGATATACTGGAGATTAAGTTGATCTATTTGCCCTCTACAACTTCTGGACATCTCCTATTGTATTTTTTGTGATTTGGTTTTGATTTAATTGTATCACTTTAGAACAAGTTAGTTATATATCTGTGTGGGTTCTTGCTGCAAATACTCAGTGCTGTAGCATTTACTGAGGTTCTGCGCTTCAGCAGCATTTGTGCATACAAATTAACTTGAGAAACTTCATTGCTTATCAGATTCGGTTAGATTTAGTTGTTTTACTGTGGTAGTGACTCCCCCTCCCCCAGTGTTTCAAATCGGAACACTTTACAGGGACGTTAAAATGTTTACTAGAAAGAACAAATAGAGGGAAATTACTAGATGGAAATTTTTATTCAGAGATATTCTGAATCTGGTGCTCACTGTATGTAAACTGACTAGTTCTGGAAAGAGGCATTTGGTATTTCTGACCCAATGTGATTGTTCCGACTGCTTGTTACATGTTGTGTTATATCCTAGAGCAATCTACACAAGGCTTGAGGCTAAAAATTTAATTTATCTCACAGTAAATGAAAACTATCATAAGATGTTTTTCTATTTAAAAACCCATTATGCTCAAATTTTGCTTTTTAAAGAGTTCTAACTTGAACTGAATTATACAAAACTGCGAATATTCTCGCTGTCCTGGTGTTTCAATGATCAGGGCAGGCTAGACATTCGCTATATTACTACTATGCAGTGTGTCCCCAGGACTGGCTTTGTCTCCCTGGTTCTGGTTTTAAACTGCAAGTAACATGTGTAGATTGTACTTTTCAGTATAATTTAATATCTGGAATAATTTATGTGAAATTGGAATCTAGAAATGTTTTGTTATATCGGGGTGGACAATTAATTTCTATGGGGGGCCACATGAAAAATCTGAACTGTGTTTGGGGGCCGAACCAACTTTACTTAAAAATAAAATCAAACCCATTGGGTGAGGCCCTGTGGTGAATGAACTACTTTTTAGGGAGTTAACTATGTGAGCATTGTAATTTGTTCGCAGGGAGGGGAAGGAAAAAAACCCGACATTGAGCTAACTCACCTGTCCTCCATTCCCCCACGCCTTTCTTCTCCAACTGTCTTCTATCCCGCACAGGCGATGTGATGCGTCATCACGTCGCCTGCGCAAGGATCGCTTCAGGCCTCTTGAGCTGCAGGCTCTGCAGTCTGTGACTCAAGAGTAACAGTCAAACTTTGCGAGATCCCAGTGCCGGATCTCGTGAGGTTTGCTTACTGCCATGCTGGGTGACCAGAGTCAGATCTCTAGCTGACTCAGCGGCGATGGGCGGGCTGGACAGGAACGACTTGCGGGGGCTGTATGTGGCCCGCAGGCCACACTTTGCCCAGGTCTGTGTTATATGAAAGTATGTGTGTGGAACAGTGAGTTTAGGATGTCTTGGGTAATCTTTAAGTTGCATTTGCAGCACAGGTTTATAGAGTTTTGCTTTTGGTTTAACTCCTAGAATTCTCACTCAAGAATTCTGGGAAGCATGGAAAAAACCACAGCTCCTCAAAAATGCAGCTTTTAAAAGTTGAACATCATGCAAAAAATTGAGTATGTAGAGCCATTTGTCCTGAAGCTTTCGTTATTAAAGTATATTTTTCTCCCAACAGGTGATTCGGACATCATTAGAAGCATGCCAGAGCAAACCAGTGAGAAGTAAACATGGCAAAACTTTAAATTTTATGTAATAAAATTGGTTATAACACTTTTATTGGTATGAACTTTCATGACTTGGATCACTTATACGGAAAGTGTTGTGGAAGGAAGAAAAACATTCAAGCCAAAATCCAAAGGAAGAGCAAGATAATGTAATCTAGTTAGGTGTATCAGTGTTCCAGTGAAGCCAGCGAATGCACTCAAGTACTGACTGCTAAGGCCAGTGAGATTCTTTCACACTAAATTCTCATAAGTTGTCTATCCAGCGTGAAAATGACTTTGTCATTGATTGCTAGATTTCTGTGTATATTCTTTGGAATCCAGTTGTTGTGGATTCTCTTTCTTACAAATCACTGCAGACATGTGGCATTTACCACATATTTACTATGTTTTACAGTCCCAGGAACTATCAGTGTAGAGTAAGTGGATTGAAATAAAATGTGAAAGAGATTTACATTCATTTCAGTTAAATATACTTAGATGTAGTTGCCGTGGGGTGGTAGCAAACATATACAGTATACAATTGTAGGACATTGCTGTACTATTCACAAAAACAAGTGCCTTAATTAAAATTCCTACGTTGCCAGTTTCACCTTGGCTGTGCTTGTGGTGCTTCCCAAAGGCATTTTGCTTTTCCAAAATTGAGCAAGGAGTACGACAAGGCTGTATATTGTTCCCCATGATTATTTATCTTATATGCATAATACTTCATGCAAAAGGCAGAACTGGAGGAATCCAAAACTGGAATTAAGATTGCCAGAAGAAATATCAACAACCTCCAATTGTAGATGGTACCACTCTGATGGCAGAAAGTAAGGAGGAATAAAAGAACCTCTTAATGAGGGTGGAAGAGGAGAGCGCCAAAAATGATCTGAAGCTCAACATCAGAAAAACTAAGATCATGGCCATTAGTCCCATCACCTCCTGGCAAGTAGAAGGGGAAGATATATAGGCGGTGACAGATTTTACTTTCTTGAGCTCCATGATCACTGCAGAGGGTGACAGCAGCCACGAAATCAAAAGATACCTGCTTCTTGGGAGGAAAGCGATGGCAAACCTAGACAGCATCTTAAAAAGCAGAGACATCGCCTTGCCAGCAAAGGTCCACATAGTCAAAGCTAAGGTTTTTCCAGTAGCGATGTGTGGAAGAGAGAGCTGGACCATAACGAAGGCTGACTGCCAAAGAATTGATGCTTTTGACTGCAAGGAGATCAAACCTATCCATTCTGAAGGAAATCAACCCTGAGTGCTCACTGGAAGGACAGATCCTGAAGCTGAGGCTCCAGTACTTTGGCCATCTCATAAGAGAAGACTCCCTGGAAAAGACGCTGATGTTAGGAAAGTGTGAAGGCAAGAGAAGGGGCCAACAGAGGACGAGATGGCTGGACTGTGTCATTGAAGCTACCAATGTGACTGATCCAACTCCAGGCGGAGGTGGAAGACAGGAGGGCCTGGCGTGCTCTGGTCCATGAGCTCATGAAGAGTCAGACATAAGAACTAAACAACAGAAATAGATGTTATATTTAATAAGTGAGCCAGTAGCCCTTTTTTAAAGATGAAAATGAACAGCAACAGTTAACGATAGATTAAAAATAGATATTTTGAGATGGCAGTGGGTGTAGTTGCAGTTTTATATTTGATCTTCAGTTGTTCCTGATTGTTTAAAGAAAAACAGCAGCAGTACTGATTCTCTGCTTTTGGGTGTACAGATTAACAAAAGAGAGGTAACTCACTATGGTATTAATAATTCTGTGGCATTGGGTGTCTCACACTGAAACTAAACCTAAAGAGATCCATTGAGTATGAACACAAAGCTGGCTTAAGCATGATAGTGTGATCAACACAAGCTGGTACAAAGATGAGATTGGTCTTCCTGTGTTGTCAACTCAAAAGTTATATGTGTGCTACATCCGAAGGCTTTATAGAATCAAATATCTGGAAGAAAAGAAAAGAGGGTGATGTACCCAGCCAGATTTTCTATATTATTGGTCAGTCAGAACTGTTGTTCCATAGTTCAAACATGATTGAAACAAATTACAGAGTAACAACTGGTCATTTTAACCAGTTATTGAAAATAGAATTGCATTCAGAAATATTCAAAGCTGATTTAAAGATATTATAAAACAAGCTTTATTTTAGTTTGTTGCACCTCAGAATATATGTATAAATCCTAAACTGATCAGGTCATTGGTTTAGTAGGCAATTGTGTTTATTCTACTTAAAAGACTGCTACGGTTATTGTCATCAAAATGGGATGAGAATGCCCAGGTTAAATTTAATCCCCATAGCTACAGCTATATATTTGCAGGAAGTAGTTACTGGGATCCAATCCTAGCTCGAAGAGATTATTTGCATTTAATTCTCCAATAAAGACATCAAGTTCTGGTTTAAAACATTAGGAAGTCTCCATGTTCATAAGGGGGAGGCTGGTTTGCTTTCTTACTCATTTCACTAGGAGACTTCATCTGTTAAAAATGGGAAAATAAATGAACCAGTGTAGGACAAATGATTCTGTAATTGTTGATAGCAAAGAGAGCATAAATTGTCTCATGCTTTGTACAGACATACAGTTGTGCCCCGCTTTACGATTGCCCTGTATTACGACGAAACCGCATTATGACGATGTTAAGCGATCGCAAAACGATGGTCTGAATAGGCTTTTTTCGCTATGCGATGATCGGTTCCCTGCTTCAGGAACCGATTCTTCGCAAAACAATGATTTTCCTACAGCTGATTGCCGGTTTCAAAATGGCCGCCGGGTAAATAAAATGGCTCCCCACTGCTTTCTGGGACAGATTCCTCGGAAGGCAGCTACTGAAAATAGCCGCCCTATGGAGGATCTTCACTGGATGGTGAGTTTTTAGCCCATTGGAACGTATTAAACAGGTTTTAATGTGTTTCAATGGGTTTTTTATTTTCCCATTACGACATTTTCGTCCTACAGCAATTTCGCTGGAACGAATTAACGTCGTAATGCGAGACACCATTGTATTTCAAACAGCCGCACACTTAACGCTTAGCATAGCAGGCTTAAGTACAAATATTTTGTAGGCTTTAAGTAGTGGTATGTGCAGGGGTGGGCAATTAATTTCTATAGGGGGCCAGATAAAAAAATCTGAACTGTGTTTGGGGGCCAAACCAACTTTACTTAAAAATAAAATGAAACAGTGATGTTATTGTTTTTATTTTAAACTTGTTAATCTTCACAAATACTACAGGATTTTAAAATCACTGTCCAAATAGTAACAGTGCTTTGGGACAATGTGGAAGCAAATTGTACCAGGCTTATTTCTCAGTTCGCCCCTAAGCAAGTTTGCTGAGGCACTCAAAGCATTTTCAAGCAACCTCTGCACAGACCTGACACAAAAGCTGTCTCCTGTTTCAACCTGAGCATGACCTGGGGAAGGAAGCCCTGAGCATCTTCTGCATAAATCATGCCATCTCCTAAAATTCAGAGAGGCTGCCCCTTAAAATGCCTTTGCCCGGACTCAAACAGAAATCTCTCTCTTCATGACACCATGTCGGGGAGAGGGCTGCGGCCAGGTATTCCTTGGTGGGGAACCGGTTCTCTGCACATGCTCCGAGGCACCCTTATCCCGCCCAAGTGCCCATCTGTCTCTACGTTTGTGAAATTGAAGGGAAAGAAAGGGGGGGGAAGAGAGACAGAAAAGGGTAGAATATGACGAGACTAAGGTGAGCAGATGTCTTTCGCAGCACAACAAACCCATTCACCTGTTTAGTGCCTGTGAGGCTGCTGTTCTCGAAGCACACACACACAAACAAGGGGCCTCAGAGAGGAACAGAGGTGAAGGCCTCGCCATCCGCCCCCTTCCTCGCCACAGCTGCCCTCACCTGGCCGGCACTCACGCACACCACAGTCGCCGCAGGCCATGACGGCGCCACTCGCCTGCTCCCACCACCAACGGCCCCACCATGTCTACCCTAACGAGCTGGGAGGCAGGGCCATGGTGGTGCATGGGCCTGTCAGGCCGGCCTGGCCATGGGCCGGCAGAGTAGGAGACGGAGATGAGGCTTCAGAAGCTCGTCCCTGAGGGACGAAGGTGGTTCCCTCCACTTTCCCTCAGCCGCTTGCCTGCCCACCCACCCCGCAGAGAGGCGGCCCTTCGTGCTTTCAGTCAGTGGCGATGGGCAGGCCGGACAGGATGTGCCCCGCGGACTGCACTTTACCCAGATCTGGGTCTCTGTGTTGTTTTCATTCAGCAACAGTTGCCATTTGGCTGTAGAAAACCTTGGAAAGATTGAGGTGAAGAAGGTAGCTAAGAAGCAGATACAGTAGTGCCCTGCATGACGACGACAATCTGTTCTGTCAAAATTGCTGTACAGCGAAATCTTCATCATGCAGAAAAAACCCCATTGGAATGCATTGAACACTGGTTAATGCATTCCAATGAGGAAATACCTCATCGTCCAGCGAAGATCGCCCATAGAGAACTGCTGATCAGCTGTTTAAAATCGCTGTCTTCTGAATCTTCTGTCTGGAAAACAGCCATTTAACTTGTATCTATCCAAGATCACTCCACACAACATCTGCAGCTTTCATTTGGAGATGAACAGCTAGTTTTAGGAAGAGTTTGCTGTCCATTTTCTCTTGCAAATGTGCCTCCCTCCCACCCATCCCAATATTAGCATGACAGTTAAAGGGCATCCTCCATGAGAGTGCATTATCATGCACAATTCTGCACTAGAACCAAGATTATACCATCTTGAAACTTAACTAATTAAACTACAATCTTTTCAGCACCAGTTTATTATATTACATAGCTTATTTTGGTTGTTTTTAACAAGTACAGTTTTATAAAACATCTTGCAGTTTTGTCTCCAGTCAGTGAAAAATTCAATATAGTATGAAATACCAGAGCAATAAATTCTTCTGGGAGAAGACTGTTCCATGTGTAGCTTTGGTACATTTTTTAATATATTTCAAACACAACAGACACTTCTGTTCAAAAAACTTCATCGGTATCTTAACTGATTTTCCAATGCTTCCATTCTTTTTGACATTTCTCCTAGTGATCGGAAATTAAGGAAAATATCTATTCAGTCTCATCCAGTAGTCATTGTCAAGATAGTGCTACAGAAATAATGATAAAGTGGCAATCCAATTGTTTTAAATTTAATAGGGTAGTGCATACCAAAATTCATTTGGCTGCAGAATTATTTGTGTGTGTCCAAGCAGGCCACTAAGTAAACACTAGTTTGGGCTGATCCAGAAGACTCCTATTTTATTACATGTGTATTAAGGTGATGCAAATTCCTATAAAGATGTGCAGCTGTGTAAGTATAGTTACACAGTACAATATTCATATCTGTTGTCATGACAATTGTCATCTTATTAAAAAGTGCTGTCACCCATTTGTGGAATGCCCCCCCAAGTGATGCCTATCTGATTACATCTTCCTGTGATGGTACAGTATAACAGTTTACTGTCCTGGAACAGCTGAAATTTTACCAAGCTCTAATTTTACTGAGCTTTAGGGACTTATTTGTTAGTATAGATCTTAATAGCTCATATAATCTAGCTCCTACACATTGAAGATCTTTATAGAGAGAAAATGTGATTCCTGCAGATGGCATTTTTTACCATTTAATGCATTCACTGGCCACACATTTCCCCCATGCAGGTTCTCAATGTTAGGAAGGTCTCCCAATCTTCCACAGCAGCTATTTGTGGAAAAATAGTGAAGACAGCTGTTCCACCTGCTTCCTCCTGCATTTTGGCAGAGAATTGGACCTGAAAATCTTTAGGGTCACTTCCAGATCTATATTTCTATGCGCTGAATGGCAGTCCCTTGGGTGTCAGTCTGAATCCAACCGACTATGTTTGGGTTTTTGTATGACAATATTTATGGGCTGATGCTCTGAATTTTGCAATTGCAGCTAGAGGGTGCTTATGCTACACTTGTAGCTCTATAAACTTGGTATGACATAATACAACAGTATTCATTTCAGTGGCTGCATATATTTGTCCAACCACATTTGAAAAGCGACAGATTACCCACTTGTAACTGTATTTCTTTGAGTGAACCTCTGTGATTCACACCCTCATTGGAAAATTCTAGAGCTTCTGCGGTAGCAAAAAACACATTAGAATAAGACCCCTCCCCCTCGTATAAATACCTTGGTGTCAAGGCTCCCCTTTCAGTTGTGTCAACCACAGAATGGCGTGACAGTGGGGAGGACGGGTGGGAAGTGTAAATCACAGAGGTCCACTCAAACTAAAATTACAGGTGGGTAACCTGTCCTTCTTCATGGCCTCTGTGAATCACACCCTGGGTGACTAAAAAGCTGTCTTACCCGTAGGCAGGGTGTCACGCCAAGGTAGCGGCTAGAACAACACATTCAAAGGCCGGATCAGACTTCCGCCGGAGATCAAGTCTATAATGTCGGATGGCTGTGCGCAGGTGGCAGACGTCTGGAAGAGGTACGCCGTGTAGGAATGCCATAGAGGTCGCCACTGCTCTGGTGGAGTGAGGGTGAATCACCTTCATGCATGCCACTGATATGTGAGGTGAATGCTTGAAGCGACCCATCTAGATACGAGTATAGTTTGAGATGTCACCTGGCGACCTTTAGTAGGTGGTTGATGACTTAGGAAAAGTCAAGTGAATGCCTGAAAGATTGGGTGCGTTGGACATAAAAGGCAAGAGCTCACCTAACATCTAAAGTATGGAGGATTCTTTCTTGAGTTGTGGACGGTTGTGGATGGTGACGGGAAGAAGGAAGGAAGGATACATGGCTGAGAGAGATGGAACTGAGATAACGACTTTGGGGAGGAAAGAAATATCCATGGATAGTTTGACTTTGGGAAAAAAACTGTAAATAACAATAGTTGTAACGTAAGGCTGCTAAATCACTAGCTCATCAAGCTGAGGTGGAAAAAGGTAAGTGAGGGTCTTGGGCCATCGGCCGACGAATGTATATCTTTGGGAGCGTTTGCCAATGGCAGCTTGGGAGCAGTATTGTTTGCACTTCCAATTCACATGGGAGGCGAAGAGGTCGGGAGTTGGTTTGCCCCATTGTTCGCATAGGTGAAGAAAAATTGATTGGTCTAACTCCCATTTGTGAGCTTGAGAGTTTGTGTGGCTGAGTAGATCAGCCAAGTCGTTGTTGTGGCCAGCAATGTGTAAAGCTGTGAGGCACCACTGTATTTGTCTGTTTCAGCATGTTGGCAAAATTGGAGGGAAAAGGGAAAAAAGGGGGAAGCAAAGTAGTGCGGCTGTGTGAGCTTTTGTGGATAAAAATCTTACTTCAGACATCAGAAAGTAGCAATGGTTTATTAACACAGGAATGGGACTATCAAGCTGTTAATTATTTGCCATGTTTACCTGGCCTCTATCTTACCATCTGGGCTAGGGCCTGCTATCTTGTGCAATTTACATTATTGTGTTAATTAGCCATTGTCACTTTCTAGTACTTATTCCTAGTGTTATGAACCACTGTCACTTTGTTAATTATCCTTACCTGGCCATAATTCTTATCACTGTGGTGATATGTATCAATACAGAGGGTATGTATTTGCACTCCTTGGGATCCGAAAAAGTTAATTTTGATCCACAAAAGGTCACATCTGCTAGTCTTTTGAATAATAATTTATCCCCTCCTTCAATTTTGCAGCATGATTTTATTTCCTTTATACATGCTGAAACAGATTAAACATGGCTACCTTGCTGAGAAGTGCTACAATAAAAGGCATTTTTTTATAAGTGGTCTTATAAGAGCTGTCCGTGATGGATCAGGAAAGAGATCTTGATGTGCTGGTGGACAGCTTGATGAAAGCATCAACCTAGCGTGTGGCAGCAGTGAGGAAGGCCAAATCCATGCTAGGTATCATTAAAAAGGGGACTGAAAATAAAACAGCCAACATTATAATGCCATTGTACAAGACCCTGGCAAGGCTGCACCCGGAGTATTGCATACACTTCTAGTCGCTGCACCTCAGTGGAACTGGAAAAGGAGCAAAAGAGAGCGACTAAAATGATGACAGAGCTAGGGGCACTTCCCTTAGGAGGAAAGGCTACAACGTTTGGGACTCTTTAGTCTAGAGAAAAGGCACCTGAGGGGACACATGATTGAGATGTATAAAATTATGCAGGGAATGGATCAAGTGGAGAGATGGAAGCTCTTTTCCCTCTCATGCACTGCCAGAACCAGGGGAAATCCACTTCAACTGAGTGTTGGGAGAGTGAGAACAGGCAAAAGAAAATATTTCTTGACCCAACGTGTTGTTAGCCTGTGGAACTCCTTGCCACAGGATGTGGTGGCGGCATCTGGCCTAGATGCCTTTAAAAGGGGATTGGACAGATTTCTGGAGGAAAAGTCCATCACAGGTTTCAAGTCGTGATGGGGATGTATAATCTCCAGGCTTAAAAGGAAGGGACCTCAAAATGCCAGATGCATGGGAGGGGTATCAGGAGACAGGTATCTAGCTGTTTTGTGTGCTCCCAGAGGCATCTGGTGGGGCCACTGTGAGAGACAGGAAGCTGGACTAGATGGGCCCTTGGCCTGATCCAGCAGGGCTCTTCTTATGTTCAATTTTTCCAGTAAGGTGGAGGACATAAAAAACTGTATCAAAGGTCTGTCTTATTTTGTTACCATAGTAGCTAACTAAATGCCTTAGGGAGGCAATATGTATAGCCATTATGACTGGTAACCACTTGTAGACATTATCTCTGATGATTATTCCCCAACCCTTCCATTTGCAAGTTGTCTCAGAGCTCTTAACCTATCCTACTCAATTGGCAGTGTGATCTAGCAAAGTGTTATGTCCTGTTATGGTGCATTTAATTTACAGTGACACTCAATGGGCTTTCAAAAGCTATTTAAATAATGGTTTTACTACCTCTAGTGACTTTTCATAACCCAGTAAGAAGGTGGAGCTAGGTCACCTGAGCCCCAATTTGTCACTACACTACACTACACTGCCCCCTTAGTTGTTGTTTAAGAAGGGGTGAAAAACAAGCTTGTACTTTCTTTTGCACCCATGAAACAGACTCAGTAGCAGAAGTTGATAGCATACTCTAAAGTTGTCATGTTAGCACTGCTTCTCCCTTTCACTTCAGTCTCCAAGATGCAAGACCAGGAGTTGGAAGGTCGAGAGGGAAAGCCTTTTCACCATAGAAGAGGTGAACAGCAGCTCAAGCAAAGACACGTGCCATGTATGAATGGCTCTCCTTTTGTCTCCACCCATTTATCAACGTGTATACAGATGTGTTCCATTGATTTATTATAAATAGATAGGACTGCAATCAATCTAGCTGTCTGTAGAGCCTATTAAATTAGATTATATATAATTAACTAGACATATGAGTATTTGTTTAGGAAATACTGGCCTAAATCAGGGTGAGGGAGATCTGCAAATGAAACTGCTGCTTACCAATGAAATCTGAGGTCGAGAGTTTTGTTTCCCTATACAGGCCCCTCTACACTTCAAAAATCTGCCAGGAAATCATCCAGAGCCATTTTCTGGACAGTGCAGAGTTTGCAAAGGGAGGGGGGAGAGCTGGCACCAGTGCTGTCACATACGCACTGCAGTACCAGTTTGATAATGGATTTAAGCCACTATATCTTTTTCTCAAAATCTGCAAATTTATTCACTAGAGAATAGCTATTTAAAAGGATATGTTGCTGTGTTAGTTTTTTAACTGCAGCAGTTGCAGAATTCTGGAATGTTAGAAGATTTTCGCATTTGCACAGTTCTTTTCTGTCTTCTGAAGGTTTTCCTGAAAAATAATTGATAGGTGTTTGGAAAATCAGCTATATACAAATAATACAATCCATACCATGAAGAACACTACACTGGCAACAATAAATTAGGAATACATGGGAAACTGAAAGGACAATAAGAGTGGGAGATGCTTAGGAGTTTTTGTAGCTATAAATTTATTCTGCATTGCCCTATGGCTGGAGGTCTAATAGAAACAGCAATCTACTCTTTCTCATCCTTTTAAATTGAAACTGCTAAGGACTGAATCACAAATTCTACATGTGAAGCACACAACCTGTCACTGATACACAACACAAACACTTGTTGCTAATTCAGTTTAGCTGTCTTTTGGAAATCTCTGTCCCCACAGATTAGACACACTAGTTACAGGGAAGGGTGAGCAGAAACAACAAAAATCTTCTTGATATCTTGTGCAGCCAGTGGGTGGTGGGGCCGCTAGCCCACACATCAAGCCAATTCTGTTTAAGTTACATTGGCTACCAGTTGCTGCCTGGGCTCAATTCAAAGTGCTTGTTTTGACATATAAAGCCCTAAACAGCTTGGGCCCTAGATACCTGAAGGACCGCCTCCTTCCATATGAACCTACCCGGCAGGTAAGATCTAGCCAGGGGGCCCTTTTGAAAGAGCCATCCCTTAAGGAGGTAAGAGGGACGGTTTGTAGAGAAAGGGCCTTTTTGTCAGCTGCCCCCAGACTATGGAATGCCCTCCCAACTGAGATTCGTCTGGTGCCGACGCTGATGACATTTCAGCACCAGGTCAAAACCTTCCTGTTCCAGAAGGCTTTTAATTGCAATTACATGAACCGTGGGTCCAATGGCAATTTTTAGAGTTTATATTTTAATTGCATTTTAATTGTTTTGACTTTTTATTGTATTTTAAATGTTGTAAGCCACCCAGAGAACTTTAGGTAGTGTGGGCCACATATTAATTAATTAATTAATTAAATATCAAACTTATTTGAGAAAGATATTAATAACAATTCCATAAACCTCTGTGTCTATTTCACATTACTGAAAACATGAACATTGTAAAGGTTAAAGGCTAATTGTTGATTATGGGCATGGGCATACTTCAAAATCTGATTTGAATGAATGAGGAATATTAATCTTACAATGTGGCATGCTACTTTCAGTACCAGTTATAGTGGCAGCAAAGTTATGAGAATCAAAGATGATAGCTAGTGCTATCATAGCTAGTGCTATCATCTTAGATCACTGGTTCTTAACCTTTGTTACTCAGATGTTTTTGGACTGCAACTCCCAGAAGCCTTCACCATCAGCTCTGCTGGCTGAGGTTCCTGGGAGCTGCAGTTCAAAAACACCTGAGTAACAAAGGTTAAGAACCACTGATCTTAGATGAAGAACAAATCACTATGTCTCTACTAAATTGGGCATATGCAAAATTGAAACAGGTGTACCTGATGATGTTGATCGCAATTGTTTTTCCTCAAAAAGATACTTATGATGTACAGCAAAATTTGAACAAGCAAGAACATCTGTAATGGACAGGGTGGCTGCTTCAGGTTCTGCAAAAAACAACAGAAAGAATAGAACTGAGATTAAAACAGGAAGATTATCCCTACTGTATGCTCACAATTTCCTGTTTATCCACATCTAGCATCTCACTTCCCAAACTCAGCCTAGAATTTTTGAGATACAGTAACAGACAACTTTTACAACATGTTCACATAGTGATTTTATTATGAAGTGTTACAGCTGTTCTGGGTGTGCTTTGTGTAAATTTATACTTAATAGGGGCATTCTGCTGACAGAACTACTTCTATCAGTGGAACT